AGCTATGCTAATTATCTGTATGTAAATAATATAGGTTAAATAGCAATGGTATCTGGTATAGTCTGTACGGTGTGGTGACAACCCTAAGGACAAGTTAAGTATACTCAAACGTTTATTCTTTTCAATACACAAAAATAGTGGGTAATATATGTGTTTTTTTTGTCTTAGTATATACCCATGGTAAAATAGATGCCTCAATATTTTCATGCATATCCAGGTTTGTACTTGAGTAAGTATATGTGAAGTTTCTGAGGTATCTGCTGTCTCTGTTGTCTGTAGAGAATCAGATTTGTTTTTTAAATTCATATATACCGACTGCAACTACACACACACATATAGATATATTAAATATTTACTTTGTTCGAGTAAGTTAAGTTTACTGCAGTAAGATCATTATGTATAAGACTCGTGAATAGTACTCATGTTATTCACGAGGGTATTGTTAAAAAGCATGCATTCACTAGTTTACTCAAGTACAGGTAGTACAAGGTATAGCTTAACTTGTATCGCTGGTGTAGATCTACGTTCATGTAAGTATGTAACGTATATTCACGCCACACACACACACACACACACACACACACACACACACACACACACACACACACACACATACACACACATACACATATACGTGTTGTACTTCACGTAAGTATAGATTCAAATGCTGGAATTTTTATACACTATAATCTAACCCATTAAACCATCTGTAATAGCACTGGAGATATTTTTACTACCACTCTGATATAACATTCTACATACTTTTCTATCATCATTGTGAATCATTTGGGTAGACACTTATAATCTTCCATTTCACTCCACTCTAAGTTGAAGAGGTGAAAATCGTTAACATTGGTGCACTGTCGGGGTGTGTAAAAAGTGGGACTCAGTAACTCGTAGTGTTCCCTTGTATTTTCCTCTGTCCCACACATTTATGATATACTACTGGCATAATTACCATGTATTATCTTCATTTATAACATCTGTGTTATTTCCTCTCTTCTTGTCATGTTTTCTTTGTTTTGGTTGAATCTCTAGTTACGTCACGTTGGTTTCAATACTCATAGGTGAAGGTTAGACTGATTTTCGACGTCGAGTAGTTGATAAGGGAAAATCTTCCTAGCCATACAGAGGTTCGCACGAAACGACTGGTTCATCTTTGGATCCTTAATCATAGAGTTTGAGATGTCTTATGAACAAGACTCTTCAAATACTCCCTATGAAATTCTGGAATCGGCAGTCATGACATAATCTATGATTATGAAGGCTATATCTGTCTCTCTGAATATATTATTTCTTTTCTTTAACTCCCTATTACATAATATAGTCATCTTTGTACTTCTGTCTGATTATCTGCCTCTATTTCTCTTTTTTAGACAATACAAACACCTTAAACAACACTGACTACCACTGACACAGATCAAACGTCCATGTGCTACTCGTGTGGAAATTAAGTTGCGCGGGGGAAAAAAAAGTCAGAATATGGTAATAAAAGTTGTGTTTAACGTAAACGAGATCGTAAATGCCAACTGAAAATATTATAAAGTATATATACTGGATTTTATGGGAAGAGGACGTCCTTTGTCATGCAGCTGAAAACCTTGCAATGACGGCTGTTACTTTACACCTGGACGGTAGACAGTGAGGGAGGGAGGGGTAGACAGTAGGGTACATGAGCGATACCAGGGAATACCATAGGAAACTGACTGACATTCTTAGAACCTTGAAATTTTTGATAAGTATAGAATAATATTATGGGGTCCTCGGTATATATCTATTGTATTCTACATATAGGATAATCAGTTTCTTATTTGAGAAGTTTGGAAGGAGAGAGAGAGAGAGAGAGAAAGAGAGTGGTTACCTCACCTGTCCTTTTAATAGGTAGGTGTTTGTTTCCGGTGTGTGTGTGTGTGTGTGTGTGTGTGTGTGTGTGTGTGTGTGTGTGTGTGTGTGTGTGTGTGTGTGTGTGTGTGTGTGTTTTCTTCGTTTTGCGGTGTCTGTTGTTATCTTAACCTGTCTTGAATTTTCTTCCTATTAATTTAATTTGCATATTGGTATCCTTTTGCATCTCTATATCAATTATTATGTCTCTTTTTTTTTAATCTCTCTTTTCTTTTTTCTTGTGTTTCTTTGCTCGTGTCCGTTTTTCTCATTAACCTATGCCTGTGATCCTTCTTCCATCTCCTTCACCTTCCTTGAACTCCGAGTGAGTACATACATACATACATACATCCATACTTACTTTTTCACACTTCTTATTTAGTTTTATTGTTGTAGTCCCCATTCTGTGTCGTGAACGACAGTGCTTGACAACTTACCACTCCTCTCCTTGTCTCTCGTCTATCCTTCGCCATTCGTAATGAAGACATTTACACGTGTTCCGTTTTCATAACGTTGATGCTCATTGTTAAGTAGTGTGGTGTTTTTATGTGGCGGATTTTGTTATTGAGGTGTCGATGATTTTGTCTGCTTGTCTCTATCAATTTGTTTGTTTATTTGTCTCTCTTTATGTTTGTTCGTTTTTCTATCTGTGTGTTTCTCTGTTTCTTCGTTTTTCTATTTGATTGCTTGGGCTTTTCACCCTCCATAACTTTGATGTCTCATATCAAACTCACACATTAACTTTCGGTGATTTATGCAAGAAAGTTTAGTATTCATGGTCGGGGTTAGTTATCTGTCAGGGTCAGAGTGATGGAAAACTTTAAGGAAAGTAGAAATGGATTTTTTATTTACCTTATCTTAAATGTACAGTGAAAGACAAAGGTCGTGTCGTGAAATTTGGTGAAAACATATGCCAAAGGGCTAAACTTTTGGTGCGCTCTGCCTTGTAGTAGGGGGTTCTCATAATGTTTCACGACTTATATTTAATCTTCGTACAAAACCGCGACACGACTTTTGTCTTTGAGTGTACATAACCTAGCCTATCCTATCCTACCCTATCGTATCGTATCGTATCGTATCCTATCCTATCCTATCCTAATTGAACCTTACCTAACGTCACCTAGTCTGACCTAACCTAACCAAACCTAACTTAACCAACCTTGACCTAACCCAGTCAGGATGGTGATTAATCTTCTGGTGCAATTATCTTTGGTTTGTAGAGCTTCAAGTTTGTATTTACTAACCAACGAACGAGCCGGAGTTTCATTACAATACGATAGATTCTACCTATTAAACTCTATGACCAATGTTATCCAAACTTGCAAAACACATTCATAAGGATCGTAACTTGACGTCTAGTTGTTTTTGTTGAGGTCGGAGCAGAGGTGAAGATCAACAAGGTGATGAGGAGCCAAGGTCACCCGAGGAATCTTTCGGCTGTTGTTTGAGGATTTGTCTTCAAAGTTACGGATTAAACTAATGAAATGCTATATTATCCTTTTGTTCTATCTCGGTTTTGTTGTTGTCGGTTCCTTATTTCATCAAATCTCTCCATTTTACTATCTTTCTCTCTCTCCCATCCATCAACCCTTAAAGTTCACACCAAGACGAGAGGCACGACCTGTCATCCATGGTAAAGGTAAAGTAAATCACAACGAGAGACAGATATCCTCAACTCTTGCTTGTACCTTCAACTTTGTAATGTACGACACAGGACCATGGATCTGACAAAAGCTTCGTAAGTCAATATCCAATCCCTCCTGTTACATAAGATAATCAGAAGAAGAGGGAAGGTTAAGGTGCCATTTGAGGTTGCACATAAATCTTACCATGTGTTTTGTTCAAGTCTCGAGGAGAGAGTTGGCTTACGAACTCCTTGAAGACCTGAGTGTAGTTCTGCCACCTGTTAATTTTTACTTGTGTGTGTTTGTGCATGATCGTTTGTCTCTATCAATTAAACAATCCATCGATTACTCTGATGTATACATTACATACATGAATGAGGCTGGTTTATACAGGTTTTAACAGTGTAAAAAATATAAATTATATTTTTATATGTTATTTCTTATATAGTTATCGTGCTATGTTCACTTTAAAATCTGTGTCATTCACAGTGAAATAAAAACCTTGACTATTGTCTAATGGTAATTATTTCAGCTAATTTCTTTCGTTACAGGAGAAGGTGTAATATGTTTTCTTTTTTTCTTCCTGTCCCTCATAAGTAAACTAGATAACCTGTCTTTTGAGTTCCTCAGCCATCGGTCAGTGCTCGGACTGTCTCCCTGCATGGTCTTTTATTATCTTACTCTCTTTCCTAGTTGAGGCAAAGAGTAGATGTTCCTCATGCCGGTTCTTCGGGTGCCCAGTCCCATCCTCTCCCTCCATGATATGTGACTCTTATTTCCTTTTATTCTTAGCCCGATCTTCCTCTTGATTTTGAAGTCATGCCTGCCAGTGATTTAAAGTTTTATGCCATCCCACGATTCCTTCCAACCCCCAAAAATCTCTTGGCTCACGCTTCCCCAAGAATAGTGATGGACTGTTATTCCTTAAATCATCTGTCATCCCAACGTTACTCGTGTTTCTTAAAACTAACCTAAGCTTTTCTTATGTTATGGATTTTACCAATTTCTACCACTGCTGGTCATGCCACCACCAATTATGTTACTACTACTACTATTACTACTACTACTACTACTACTACTACTACTACTACTACTACTACTACTACTGTAACACTCGCTTCCTGCTACCACCTTCACTCTTCCTATTATCATCACATCTCTCGACCACTCCCACTTTCTCCACCACCACTACCGTGACGACCACCCTCTACCACCACTTCCAGTTCCTCAACGACCAACCAAACCAGCATCTTTCTCTCAATCTATTTTTTTCACCATCGCTGCAACCAGTGCATCCACTCTAATCTACCAATTCATCTACTTCCTGAGACCTCATCTACCCCCTACTACCACTATCGTTCCTTCTCCTCCCTCCCGCCGACAGCAGCATCTCTACCATCTCTTCCACCATTACCACCACCACCATACGGGCCCGCCTCGCAGGCACCCTGAGCACCCTAGCACCAATCATCTCATACCGCCCATGTCTTGCAGGTCCAAACGGCTGCCCCCGTCGACGAGGGAGGCAGACCTACACGCGTTTCCAGACACTGGAGCTGGAGAAGGAATTTCACTTCAACCATTACCTTACCCGACGACGGAGGATAGAGATCGCCCACGCCCTATGCTTAACAGAGAGACAGGTGAAACTTGGTGGATCCCCACTACTACTACTTCTATTATTACTACTAATTCTATTACTACTGCTGCTGCTGCTGCTGCTGCTACTACTGGGTTGTCACGGTGCTGTTTATGCTTCGTGACGCTTGGAAGTTGGTGGCTGGTAGTTGTCTGGGGTACACCTCTTATTAGGTTCTGGGGATTGTAATAATTATCTGCATATGTCTTTTCTTTCAGGTTTATATTACTACAAATATATCTAGTTATACAATCATAATAACAGATGTCATTGTGTTAGAGTAACAAAAATTCCTGTCAGATTACAAGCTCAATTATAATTGATCCCACTTTTAGTATTTTCTCTTTACATCAGCAACAAACTGTAAAAGTATCTTTTAACCCTACTTTAAATGCCACAGCTAAACTTGTTATTTTCTTCAGCTACTTCAACCTTAATTTGGCAGTCATTCTTGAGAAAAAATGAGTTACTTATATTCAGACCCATCGGAGCATGACCACTAGATCATTAAGACGATAGAGTGTGTAATTTTAATCTAATGACCACTACCATCATCAATACTGCCAGGTTCTTTGCTACCTCAATGACGGTCTCGGTCAGACTAAATTACCACTTCAGTAGAAGGGAGGGATACTCGAATGGTCAGCCCACACTCATGTAGGCGTGTCATCCTGTTGTGTTGCTGTACAGTGAGACTTGCAGAGTATAGGTGTCGGGTGGTACATGTTGTGGTTTGCCTGGTGAACGGAACAAAATGCTTTTACACAAACACACACACACACACACATTCACTCTTCCCCCCTCTCACACACATAAGCACATTCACCGTATTCACACACACACACACACACACACACACACAGTCCACCCCATCCTCCTCTGACCAAATTCTCTAGAAGTTCCCTCACGGCTACCAAGAAATCGAGTGAAGGAAATTTGTCTTCCCACCTCCCATCTTTACGTTCTCTCCCCCGTCGCTGGCGTGATGCTCTGGGGTGGTGATTCTCGTATCTGTCTTAATGTATCGTCAGGAGCGATTCAGGTAACTATCGCAGCAACCTATCGTAATGCAGGTGGGAGGTGAGAACGGTAGGGTTAGTTGATAAAAGAAATGGTAGGTGATAGGTAGTGTGTTCTTCCCTTAGTGTCGATGTTACGGAGGCGTTCCTCGTTGGGGAGCTGAGTGTTGGGAAGGAGTTGGTTTTGGCGTTGGAGAGATGGTTGGCTGTTGGGGGAGGTATTGGGTTGGTGTTGGAGAGCTGAGTGTTGGGTAAGAGTTGGTTTTGGTGTTGGAGAGTTAGTTGGAAGTTGGGGGGAGTTAAGTTTTTGGGATATTAGTTGTGTTTTGGGAAGCTGTGTGTTATAGAATTGGTTGAGTACTGAGGTGGATGAGTGACCTAGATTGTACGTTTGTGGGTGTGGTATGAGGACAGAAAAATTATTAGGTGGGTGTGGGTTTGGGTGGGTGAGAGGGTGGGTAGATAAGTGGGTGGGCAGGTGGGGGGAAAATTATCATTATCGTCATTTTCTTTCAATATATTTCAAACGTTACAATAGAATAGATACTGTATATACCAACTAAAATACTGAAGAGGTATTTGTGAAATATATTGACAAGAAATTTGAACCATATCTTCCATACCATTGTAAATTAATGAACATTCTCTTAACCGGGTGAAATAAATGAATGAAAAGATGCATTGTACCCTAAGCAATATTGAGATAAATTTAATCCAATGAAATCACTGAATGAACGGATATATTTTCAGTTAATATGGAATGAAAACTGTGTTACGAAAAGGGTAGAAGGAAGAGAATGAACGAACGAAGAGAGTGAAAATTACATAACGAAAGCGACGGAGAAAGAAATGAATGAAACGAGACTCCAGTGAAGACGGGTAATTAAGTCGTGTGGACCGTATCGCTTGTGGTATATTATTTATAAAGTGTGCGTGCCTGGACCGTGAACCAGACAGACAGGCAGACAGACAGACAAACATATAATTCAAGTAAAATAGAAAAGAGAGAGCCAAAATGAAAAAGAAAGAAAAAATGATTCGAGGAAAGAAAATGGAACAGCCCAAAACATAGAAAAACAAAGAACGAGTGAGAGATAGAGGGAAGGGTGGGGGAGAATGGAGGAACAGAGTGGACCAGTATCGAATCGGCTTCATAACTCAATAAGCTGGGTTTCACTGTACACCTTCCCGCTCTGGTCTTGGCATGCAGACGACACCCGCGTTTGGGTTTCGCCGTGCAGAAGCGGTACAAGAACATACAGATCACTGGCGCTGGTGTGATACGTGGATCGACTCGTAAGGGCCACTAAAGACGCGCTTTTTGAGGTCGGTGGGAGGGCTACATGCTAATGAGACATTCAAGAACCTTACCCCAATGGCAGCAGTGAAATACTAGTACTGCTACCGCTTGTATGACTAATATTACTGTTACTACTTTGACTATTTCTGGTACTAATACTGTTACTACTGTTAATATTGCAAGTTCTACAGCTACTTCTAAGCATTGAGAATAACAACAACAACAACTATAATAATCATAACAATAAAAGTAACAAGAGCACTAACAATAATACCAGTCCTGCATAACAACAATAGCAAAAAAAACAAAGCAAAGTGGTTAACAAATTAAAGAAATAACCATAAAGATAACGATATCACAAAGAAGTTACATTAATGGCAAACATAACCTTGCAAACGACAGTAAAACTAAACTAGAGTGGTCTTACTATTCGTGATGACAAAGATACTTCCTAATGTAGCATGTGTGAGAATAGTTCTTGTCACGAGAACCGACAGCGTTTGTTTATTGCCTGAGCTCCAAGTGATAAAAATGGGTCGTATCTGTGCAAGTACTGTACCTTAGGTGTATATACAGAAGTTTTGTCCCGTGTTGAACTCAATTGGGTAAACTAGGGGTCTGTGAGGGAGAACTGAGCGAAGGGGGGAGGGAGTTGAGGGGTAGAGGAGAGGGGAATTGGGTTAAAGGGAGAGACAGAAGGAGAGGGGAATTGGGTTCAAGGGAGGGACAAGAAAAAGAGGAGACAGGGGATGTGTTTGAGGTGGAAGAATTGAACGATGGGAGGGGAGGGAAGGGGGGGAGTTGAAGAGGGTTTGTTAGGAAAGATAGAGGCTGGAACTACAGTATGTATGTTTGAAGAAATGGTACACATATGTTAAGTGTTTTGTACAGTAGGTGTTACACAGGTGCTATAGTTACTTTATTGTGTTGTTACTCAGGTGTTACACAAGTGTTAGAGAGACCAGAGCTAGTGATCTTACGCAGGTGTTGCAAGAAGTAATCAAGATAATTCTAATGTTACGTTGATACTCTAGAAGCCTTGCATATGTTATTCCAGTGTTATTTGGGTGTTCCCTAGGTATCAGACACACATATACAGCATCACACATTTTGTACAAAGACACTGAGAAACAAAGAAAACGAAGCGATATAATTTACTGCCTTCATTATCCTATAAAACATTATGAAGTGAGAAGTCAAAATTTTTATTACAGCTGTTATTGTAGCATACACTTCATTTGCATATCTTCTTATCACCACATTTATGAGTCATTGTTTCCGGTACTCAACGTTGACATGAGATCCTAATCGTCAACATATAATTTGTCATTGGAATAATCATACTATTTAAGGTAATAAAATAGGGAATGATATTTAGGTTTGATAAGAAAATATAGTCACATTCAGTCACATTCTCTCTCTCTCTCTCTCTCTCTCTCTCTCTCTCTCTCTCTCTCTCTCTCTCTTTCGTGCATAGGGTGGTAGATAAATGGAAACAGTTACTCAGAGAAGGGAGAAATAGTGGGAAGATGTACAGCACAAGGAAAGTGTACACAGAGACAAACAATTAAGGAATAATTTTAAAACCAGTACGAATTTCCCAGTCGATATATCTTACATGCTTCACCACTTAGTCTATTTTTCTCTTATTAATTATCCTCCATATAAAATTACTTCTACGTGTCTAAATAACTTAACTAATTAACCAGAGTGACAAATCATCAGATAACATAGGATGATATTTTCATTAATCAACCCATGAAAAATATGCAATTGTACAAAAATCATCCTGGCCAAGAATATAATATTTTGATATAAACTTTTGTCTTATGGATGTTATTAAAGTGACACGCCCAGTCCCAGGTGCACAAGAGGTGTTGAAAATGGCCCTCCGTTCTGATTGATGCAGGTGTGTGGGTGTACTGATGAAAGCCTATCATTATGTAGGTGTTTCTTACCCTCTGGCTTATTCAATTGTCTGTTTTTCATCCACTGCTCTTTATCTGTTTCTCAATATCTTTCTTTAACTCACGGATGCAGACACTTACACAAACGCATATACATAAACACACTCACAAGCATATATATGTACACACACACACACACACACACACACACACAGTACCTCCAACACGAATAAACAGTTCATTAATTACCACTAAATTACCCCGTAATTGCCCAGAAGCTGAGGGACTAATGGCAGTACAGCTATCAAGAGACGGGCGGCAGGAAATGTACCCAGAGAGGAGGAGAGTGTACGAGGCATTTCCCAACACACGGCCATGTCCTTTAATTCCATATTTGGTCGACGACTTACTGGAATAGTTTCCTCTTAAAGGCTTGTTAAGAGTATATAAAGGGAATACAGGAAATACAGGTTTATGTTTTGTTTGTTTTTTTGTTCTGTTTTTTTAGGGTGTTACAGTGGTGGGAATAGTCGTTTGATTTTTCTCTGTATTTATTTATTTATTTATTTATTTACGTATCTCGGTTTTAATCTATTCGTATAGTTATATGAAAATCTATAAGTATGTTTAATTATAGTATTTATCTACTTATGTATTCTCTCATTTGTTTTTTATCTATTAGTTCGTTTTATTGTTTACTCTTGTATGTATTATTGATTTATCATTGTTGTTTATGTATTTGTTTGTGAAGGATGGTCAATAAGGGGGAGGGAACACA